TTTGTGGCTTCTTGTGACCCTCCAACCTTCAGACCACTGCTCTTCTGACTCCTGTGATTTATTAACTAACATATGACAAGATAACAATTACCATCATTTAAAAGATCTGGCTTCTTGGATTCAAGGAGACTGAGTCTTCACTTGTTTCCATTTCATTGGTTTCAATTGCATGCTAAATTCATCTGTGGGTCTCCTCTAGGCACCAGTGAAGATGTCACCTACCTACAGAGACCTTTTCTGGCCCCCAGGTGTTGCACAGCAGGCCCAGAAAGTCATTCTTCATCTCCTTACCCTGGATAACTTTTCTCAGGGCTCTGATCTCTAACTGGGTTCTGTGTTTCCTCGCGTTTAGTTTGTTTGTTCTAATTTCCTTCACCACATTGGCAGTCAGGAATGCTGTATTCCTATCACTTACCTGTAGCCTGGTACAGGAAAAATGCTTGAATAATATTTTTCATGTCTGGACATGGTGCACACATCTGTAATCCCAGCACTCTGCAAGGCTAAGGATTATTGCAAGTTCAAGCCCAGCCTGGGCATTTTAACAACTTTGCGGGACCCTGTCTCAAAATGAAAAAGGGCTGGGATATAGCTCAGTGAGAAAGCCCTGGGTTCAATCTCCAGTACAGAAGAAACATTCTGTTTAATGGATTGTTGACTGCAGAAGAGTATGAAGTTCCCCTGGGGAAGTAGAATCCGAGTGGATCTCGCTGGGCGAGACACAGGGGACCATGTGTTCTTTTGACATCTCACACTCCTGGACTTTTTAAAAATAGCCCTTAGCACTATCTGTAATTACATGTTTTTATTATTTCTTTCAGGCCTAGTAAGACTTCTTTTCCCAGGGTATGGATTTATAACCCTTTTGTGCCAGGGTTAGCTTTACTTTGTGGTGAAGCCTATGAACTTGTTCTCAGGATAAGGCTTTTAAGTGCATGAAATAAGACATATAGGATTATAAAAGAAACTCACTGTATTAAAACCAGATCGCCGAAGTGTTAAAAATTCTGAGTGGTAGAGCATATGCTAATGTGTACAAGGGCACTGTTTTGACACATGACATCAAAGACACAAAAACAACTTATCTGAAATTAAGATATAAATATATGATATAGTTACACATGTATTTTTTATTAGCATGTTAAAGAAACAAATCTGATGGTGGGACTAAAACCTATTATAGATCTTGAGTAGTGATGAGTACAATTTTGAGCTGCCTGCAAAAACAGCAGCAAGACAAACATGTCTGTTCTCTTTTGGTGACAGAGACCCACGTACCTTTAACACTGGTAAGCAACTATGGTTTGTTGCTTACACTTATAAAGAATCAAATGCTAGATCTTAGTAAGAGACTGGTAAAAATAATGATGCGACTTTTCCCTACCCACTTTAATGACTCTGAAGCTTGTCCACAGATGCTAGGGTGGATTTCTGGGCCCTAGGTTAAGAATTCCTGCACCAGCATATATGATTTAAGGTTAATTTACTGTTTTAACACTGGCACCATAGCCCGATAGGGAAGATAGGAAAGAAGGAACGAAGAAAAGAAAGGAATAGAAGGAAGGAGAAAAAGGTCAGTTTTTCTGTGTCTGACACTGTTCTCAGAATGAGCTTGCTGAATGAATGAATTCTGCAAACAGGGTAGTAAACTAGTTAATAATAAATGAGACTGCCCCTTGCCCTATCCCAGTAAGGATTGTTTCTTGGGTGAAGCCCTTTGCATTCCAGTGAAACTCACTGAGTACCTCACCCACCACCAACACAGAATTCATAGTTGAGCAATGAAATGCCTCCTTTGCCAAAACAAACACCACCTGTGTTAACCAGGTATGACGGTTCAGTGTTTTGAGACATCTGTCACACCAATCAGCTCTCTTCTTAGGGAGAGACGGGGAAATAAATAGCAATTTAACGTGACTGTAAAAATTCGATGTTACACACGGGCTTGCTTTCTTGTGGTTCTGCTTCCTTCCCGTCAATAAGTTCAGCAGCTTTTGCCAGCCACATCCCGTTACCATGCAGCACCTCTCAGTTGGTACCAGCCTTGCCATCAGCACCTGCACCCATGAACTGTTCTGTGTTGGTCCCTTCTGCTCTCCTGTGGAAAGAGAAGCCCTGTGGGAAAGCAGGATCATTAGGAACCAGCCCTGTAATTTGATGGAGATTATTTCAGGCTCTCAGATTAGCCCTATGTGAATTATTGCTCCCACAGTGCCTTGCAAGTCAGCAGTTGCTGACAGCATTTAAATGAAAACTCGTTTCTAGTGGAGATGAGAAATTCACAATTTGATCCTTCAGAAAATTCCTAATATATCAGCATGCAGAAGGAAACAAGCATCTTTTGGTAGTAGACACTATAAAAATTTTTGGAACGCTTTCTAAGACAGTTAAGAATAAATGAATATTCATCCAAGTGCTATATAAATGAAGGATTCATTTTTAGTAGGGGGAAAGATGAATAGATGGGGGAAATAAACAGCAATTCAATGTGACTGTAAAAACTAGATGTTACACACGGGCTTGCTTTATTATGATTCAGTCCTGGAATCCATCTGTCAGTGTTATCGTGCAGACCAAATAAAAAAACAGTCTCTCGTGTTCCCTACTTGCCTTATCCTTGAGTTCCTTGGTTTGCTTAATATGGTACTAAGTAGAGATTAATTATACTTTTCTCAGATCACATAACCATACACGTAATGATTTGGGGCTAGAGATGCTTTTTGGCTGTGTAATCATCTAATTACCCCCCTTCAGGTTTGTGGGGCACATAAGCTAGACAAGTTAATAGAATATAAATCAAGTGGTGGAAGAAAAAGATGTCCTTTCTTCTTGAATTCCATAAAACTCCTGGCCTCTTCTGTCAATGTGGTACTCCATAGGATCGTGGATTCTCAAGTTGTTTCTTCTTTTCTACATGCCTCCTATTCACTGACTCCTTGGGATTCTATGGTTTTCCATCCTGTTGGTCATTAGAATCACCGGGAGTGGCTTATTTTAGATCAGACACTCCTGGGCCCTACTGCAGGTGTTTGTAAAGGTCCCCAGGTGATGGCATTGAGCAGCCAGCTGCTCTAAATCTTCACCACCTATTCTCAGGGATGTTTTCTGTCAGATCCCTGTAGATGGTTCTCAGCCTGAGGCCTGCACTCCTTTTTCAAAAGAGACCAGTAGGTATTCAAACCAAATAGTTAAGCCTCTAATGGAGCTTACTGATGTAATCAGAAGGATTAAATATTTGGAAGAGAAAGTGAGTATACATTTCCCCTATTTGAGGTCAGAAAGCAATATTCATGGACTAGTTTTTTTTTTTTTTTGAAGAGATTTAAAAATTCCACCTCTCAGCAATGATGAGAGTAATTTGTCATGTATGGGACGGTACTTTAATTGCTTAATGACAGATTACAATGTCTATGTCATATTTTCCCATAAGATTCAGCAATTTGGTTTAAACCTCACCTTCAAGTCTTATCCTGAGTTGACTGTGCTCCAATCCAACCCTTTTACCACATAGAGCAGCAAGTTGGTTTGTTAGGAAGGTCTGAACACCACCTACCTCCCTACTGCGCCTTATACAGAGGGAGCTCACATAGTTGATTATAAGGATGTCAACATTACTTCTATTTTAGAGCCTCTGAACATACAGCCAAGGGGTGATGTTATCAACAATACCTTTCTCCTCATCTCCACCATTTGAAATACCACTCATCCTAAAGGACATAACTCAAATAGTTTTTTCATGAAGACAAACTTTGCTGCTAGCTCTTCATGGCACAAAGTGCCATATAAATAATAGATATTCCTTGTGATCATTGACTATTCCCCAAGACTTTATTCAAAGTCCATCAGTGATTGGCCCTTGAGTATTTGTTATTCAGTTCGGACACAGACTGCAGAGTGTACAGATGTATTGTGTTGTGGCTTCCAGAGATAAGTGAGTGTGACATGTTACAAAAATGAATAATTGAAAGAGGGAATTAGGCCTGACACAAAAACAAATAGAGTTAACTTTGGAAGATAAATTACAACTGAAAGTAAACAGAGTTGCAGAGAAACAGCTGGCGATGGGGGTGATGCTGTTGCTGTGTGAAAGACTAGATGAATATAGCAGAGGTGACCCTGTGAGGACAAATGAGGAAAGCGACTGTGAGTAATAGAATCAACGTGCCTCTGTGGACATGGTGCAAGTAAGATGCTTCATCAGAAAGGAGCTCTAGAGTTATTTTATGACGTCAAAAGTATAAAGAATAAAATATTGGAGATGATCCAAAAGAAATATGTCAATTTACCAAGGCATAAGGAAAAACATACTCCATATTGTGAAGTTATATGATGAAAAGAAGGCAAGCACTATTCAAATTCATCTTGATAAATTTTTCATAATGCAACAAGAACTTAATTCTCAATGTTTCTGATGTTTTAAATTACAGTGTGATAAACAGTCATGTTATAATTTCTTTTGTTTCCCCCCACATTTATAATCAACAGTAAGAGAGGCTTTGATGTTTGAACAAGAACTTTTAAGGATAATGTTAACAGTGTAATTTTCCCCATTGAATATTTAGATCTGCTTGCATGGTTTCAGTTCGCAGTTATTTGGTCTTGTGTTACTGTGTAAAGCGAGAACTGCCTGTCTACCCAAAATACAAATACACATGTATATATGTATTTTATTTTATTTTGGTACTGGGGATTGAACTCAGGACTTTGAGCTTGTGAGGCAGGTGTTGTCACGACTGGACTAAATCCCTCGCCCTATATATATGTATTTTAGATGGCAGGAATTCTTAGTCGTAGTTACTGCTAAGGAGGAAGGCGAAGGAAGAGTGGAAACAGGGAAAATTTTATTTTTATTTTGTATCCTTATGAATTGGCTTTTTTCTCCTTTAGAATATATTTCTTTTCAATTTAAAACCTTATTAATAAGAAATATCAATACAAAGATGAGTGACATATTGACAAATGTGTGCATATTCATCTGTGCTTTTGTTTTTGCTTTCTAGGGAGATAATTCAAAGCTTTCATTAAGAATTGCAAGAGAATTCATCATACCAAAAAGGTAAAAATCCATTGCTACAAGGTCACATTTATACTGTCCCTAAGCAGAAAAATTGTAAAATGTTCAATTTCTTCAGGCATAAATCTGATCTGAGTTGTTAATTTCGTCTCTCTGTGGGGAGAATTGGCTTAAGAACAAGTCCAGCTGATGGTGATGTTCAAGAGCAATTTGTGAACAGATGCCCTAAACAGAATGCCCACAGAGGGTCCGGTGACTGACATGCATCTGTTTAGAAGGCAGCAGGGCTGAATCAAAGTATGACCTTGTGCACAACTCTGGAGTTTTACTGGCTAGCAAACAAAATGACAAATATATGTTGAAGAGCATTTGGAAAAATAATGTTGAGATTACTGATAGATTATTCGCTCTGCTAGGATTTAGATACTCAGAGAATGAAGGGTACCTACACAGTTGAGGCCCAGGACTTAACCCCTGATTCAGGATGGCAAGTCAAGATTTGGTCTGAGAGAGTCCAGGTAATGGAAAGATCCTGACATATTTCTAAATCCATCTAAGCAAAGTTTTCACCAAAAGATGAAAAGTCTTTACAATAGTCTCTGAAGCCTCCTGGATGAATGAGATAGTCCTTCAGAAAATGTTAGCTTGTTCTAACCAGTGTTTAAGAACTCGCGGGTTGAACAATGCTTGAGACAGTAAAAACCTAGATCTTATTTATGACTATTACAAGAGGAAATGAGGTTTCAGTACAAAACTGGGATCCAAATATTGCATGGACAAGTGAGAAATTTTTGTTTGTTTGCTTTGTTTTTTGAAACAGAGTGCCAAGAATTGGCCTTGAAATCACTGTGTAGCCCACCCGGTTGAGTCCTATTTGGATAGTCAGAACTTCATTGAGGGAAATTCAAGTTTTAGGTTGGACTAAATTTTATATGGTTTCAGTTAATAATTTGAAAAATGAAAATGTATTCTTTGGGGCATTTTAAATAGTGGTTAAAATGAACAGTAGAAGACATTCTCTACTTGATATAAAACTCAAGGATTGTGAAATCCCTTCCCCAACTCCAGGTCATACAAGGTCTGTGTAGCAATATTCAGGACCCTTTGGAATTCTTCCGAAATAATGGAGTCAAATCAGAACCCTTTACAAAACTTTCTTTGTCAGGAAGAATTTAATAGCCTAACAGCTGCCCCCAAACAGAACATAGTGGAGAGGATGATTCTTTAGAGGTGAAAACTAGAGATTGCATAGCCTTTAAATAACATATAGCTGAAAAATGACCAAAGTTCAGAATGTTCAGGCTCAGAAGGCAAGTCTGTGTCTGATGGAAACCACTTTCTCAATTACAGCAGACATAAGAATGATGCCATGAGATTAGAAGAGGCCAAGAATGACCAACCAAAGAAAAATTACAACTAACATAAGCATAGTAGTCACAGTATCATGGGATTTAATGGGCCAGGCACTATAATAGGGTTCAGTCATCTGTGATACCATTTAGTCTTCTGAACAACTTTGACTTTGGGTAAGAATGTTAAATGTATACCCAAAGTTTCTGAATTCGTGGGTGTCAATTCTAGAACTCAGGTTCAGGTTTGACTCTATTTAGCATACTTAACATCACAATACCTTGCCTTTAATAATGCCAATAAAACATCATTTATTTAGTTAGGGTACTGAAAAAGACATACTCTAAATCTCAGTGATTGCACAAAGCAGAAGTTTATTTCTTTTCCTATTAAATTTATGTGGTAGGAGGGGTAGGAATGGAGTAGGTGTTCCACATAATTACTCAGAGATCCAAACAGGGACAAGAGGAAGAAATGAGAACCAAGACCTGTCATGTAAAGGTCCAAGATCCCAATAATGATTGTAACTGTCCTGTATACCTAAAATGTACCAATAAACTCAATTAAAACAAACAAACAAACTGGCATAGGCATCACCATCTTCAACACTGGCTTGCAAGGATAAATCTGGCTGCTGACATCCAGAGGAAGATGTGGGAAGATAGATCCTGGTGGATGTATAGTAAGATTTTATGAGCCAGATCTGGACATGGCAGTTCATTTTTTTCTGTAATCTGTTAGTCATGGTTAGTTATATAGCTGTACTTATTTGCAAAGGTAGACTAGCTGTGGGCTCAGGAGGAGAGGAAGAAGGGTATAGTGAAAAAACATTCATTCTCTATCACACTCGTATTCTTCTACAGTTATTGCAATTTAAGTATAATAAATAAATGCCATCACCTACTAAGTGCCATATAACATGCCAGGTTCTGGAATGTACAAATAAGTAAAGTTGAATGCATGTCCCCAAGTCTAGCAGGGAAATAGACAGAGATACACAGACAGGCATGATGCAGATGACAACCATTCTCTACATTTAAATATGGTGAGATATGCTTTAGTTCAGAATGAATAATTTAGCTCCTATAAAATCCTTAGAATTTTTTGGTTAAAGATTTGAAGTTAGACCCCAGTGGAGGTAGCCTTTATCCCAGTAGAAAAGCTTTGACTTAGTCCTCCATGGGAACAAGTGGGCCCATGCCATTTGAGCATCGGACCAGCAGCACACTCCCCAACATGAACAAGCAGATCCATGAGGGACAAGTGTTGTTCATCCCCCTCGCAAGACAGGTTCACGCTGGACACAGGAGGCCCCCTGACACAAGGGTACCATCATCCACCAGCTCCAAGCCAGCTCTGCATTTTGCTTCCCCAAGGCATGGATCAGGGATGGTGAGGATTAGCTAACTATGCTGATCCTGGAGGAGGACAATGCAGGATGAGAACATTGTCAGCCAGACCCCACAACTAGGGACATTAAGTCCAACAGCACACTCGAACCCATACCCTCTGTCTTCCATCCAGCAGACACCAAAAGCCTGATTGTTTTTCTCACCTACCGACAGGAACAAGGACTCCCTTTGGCTTATATAGTAATTACAGTCTGAGGGGAACAGACTGAGGGGCCTCTGGTGCAAGGAGGGCATGTCAGAAATCCAGAGGTCCTTAAAGTACGCATGGAAAATCATGCCTGGCTCAATCACAAGACTGCAGATCTTGGAAGGAAACCACTCATTCAATAACAGGGATTTTTTTCTTTGACTCAATCTTTTTTTCCATTTGTCTATTTGGTTATTTTTAATCTTTCATTCATTGGGTTTTTGAGGGATTTAGGGTCCCCCTTCTAGTTTTTATCTTTTCTCTTTTTCCTTTTCAACTTTTTCCCTCTTCCTGCTTATCTTTTTAAATTTCCTGTTTATGTTTTTGAGGGATTTAGGGTCCCCCTTCTAGTTTTTATCTTCTTTTCTCTTTTTCCTTTTCAACTTTTTCCCTCTTCCTGCTTATCTTTTTAAATTTCCTGTTTATCTTAATTTCCTTGATCATTCTTTCCTACAACTGGTTTCTATCACTATTAATTTCCTTTTACTCAATAGGAATGCCTATCTCATTTTTCTCTCCTTCTCATACCCTATGATTAATTTTCCAAATTTTGCTTTTTTTCATTCACAGGTTTCCCACCATCTCTCTTTACTAGTATAACTACTGAGCTTTAAGACTTTCTAGATATCTAATTAACTTTACATTATTGATATAGAATACAGTTATATTGTTAGTAGAGGTACAGTTATTCAATTTAGTAGATATTTACTGTAGATCAATATTTTATTTGTCTTCATTCTATAATTATAGATCTTTTTTCTTTGGTTAAGGGTGGTACTTTCTTGGTCTTTGGGTTGTCAATACTCAGTTTGTATTTAACAGTATACTTGATGCAGATTTTATAGCCAAGGTAACATAGCTGTTGCTATTAATTAGTTTTCTTGGAACACCAATATCTGGATTGCCTAGGGATCATTAACAGTACTGTGGATCACTCCTGGAAAACTGGGTACTAGGCCAAGTATGATGCAACTTCCTATCTCAAGTAAATGGAGATGGTTGGATCCTGGGACAGAGGCAAAGACTAACAGTGATGCCTACAGGACATCTCTGAAAAGTAGACAGTAAAGAAGTCTCCAAAGCTTTCTGCTAAAATCAACCCACAAACCTCAACATAAACCTACCAACAAATATCCAGAAACATGAGTAGACAAGCCAACAAAATGCTTCCAAAGCCACTCAGCTTTCCCAAAGTTGATCTGTGTGGCACAAAAAAGAAAGAAATAAAAACCATACATGAAAATTATTCCAAATGATACCAGGGGAGATGACAAAGCAGATCAATACGGCATTTGGAAAAATCACAGAAGATATAAGTAATAAGATATTGGGCAAAATAAACAAAGCAATCAGTGAGTACACAGAAGACACTAATAAAAATTTAGCAGAGCTAAGAAAAATGATGTGAAGCATGGATGACTAGCATAGAAAAAAGGTAGAGTCCAGAGCCAGGTGTGGTGGTTCATGCCTGTAATCCCAGCATCGGGAGGCAGAGGAAGGAGGATTGCTGTGAGTTTGAGGCCAGCCGAGGCTATATAGTGAGTTCAGGGCAAGCCTGAACTACAAATAGAGACCCTGTCTCAAAAACAAAAAAGAGTCTATAAGAAGTCTCCACACAGAAACTCAGCAGATTAAAAATTCTGCTGAAAGTGTGGGTAGCGGAAGTAACCAATGTGAGGACAGAGTGTCAGAACTAAAAGACGGGGCTGTTGTCAGTATATGATTGATGAGAAACATGTTAAAATAACGAGGATATAAATAAATGTATTGAACAGCTCTGAGATAATGAAAAGAAGACTAAGGTTGATTGGAGTTAGTAGGAAATCAGAAGATAGCACAAATCATATTTAAAAAACTGTTTACTGAAATAATAGACATTTTCCAAATGAGGAAAAAGAATTTAATATACAGGTAAGTGAGGTACATGGACTACATATAGCCACAAAAGCAAAAGAACCTCTCCAAGACACATCACAGTAGTATCCTGGAAGTGCAACACAAGAATAGAATCTTAAAAGTAGTTAGAGAAAAGCAATGAATGACTCATAAAGGAAACCCCATTAGAATTGCAGCAAACTTGTAAACACAAATCT